ACAAATGAGTAACAAGAAGGCATGTAAGCACTCAACAAGCAAATCAAGATGAATAACTGCCCCATGAACAAATCAGAAGAAATGTTCAGTAAAGACAAGACATAGTCTAAACACCATGTAAACTTTGTGCAAGCAAACCAGGATAAATACTGAACAAACAGGTTACAAGGAGAACATAAGAAAGCCTGCTGGATCAGGCCAATGGCCCATTTAGTCCAGCATCCTGTTCTCACAGCGGCCAACCAGATGACTGTGGGAAACCTGCCAGGAGGCCCCAAGCGTGAAGTATGAGTAAGTCTCAAAATGTTTTAGGTGCCCACTATCTTAATTCACTCTAGTAGGACAGTGAAGAAAACTAGCAGAAAAATTAAGAGGCCTGCCTTTTCCCGTTATTATTCCAAGTTCTATTGAAATTACTCTACCTGGCAATATTTTGTTTCTGAACCAATTCCTGCCGTCTGGTTACAGCTTCCATGGATTCTGGTTGGAGGAAACTATATCCTAAAAAAAATAATGGGTAGAGGGTTAAATATTATTAGTTGAATAGTTATGTCATGTAAATGCAGATTAATGCACGCAAAACAAACAAAGAGGCAGCTATTGGAGAGAAGAATAGCTACAACATGTAATCATGCAGTGATGTGCATTTTTTAAAAAATCCTCAAGGGTTTCTGCAAAAGAAGTAGGGCAAGTGAATTTCAGTTGCAGACTCGTTCACTATCTAGCAAACTTCCTGGCACTTTGCTGCCAAGGTCTGTGTCACACCACAGTTTCCCTAGCATTGCTATTTACAGCCTGCATCTCATCTCATGCAGTGCCCTAGATGGGGGCTTCATTCCTGGGCTTTGCAATGGGGAAATCTTAAAACTTTAAAAAGTTAAAAACAACTCTGCTGTCTTCCTCTCAAAGGCCTGACCCAGTCATTGGTGAGGAGCATTTTCCCTGGCCACTAAATACCAGTTGCTGGGAATCACAGGTGGGCAGAATGCTGTTGTACTCATGTCTGGCTTGCAGGCTTCCCACAGGCATCTATCTGGTTGGCCACTGTGAGAACGGGATGCTGGACTAGGTGTGCCACTAGCCTCACCCAGCAGGGCTCGTCTGATGTTCTTAAGTTCCTCACTTCCTGAGAACCAGATTGACATTATTAACAGGCACCACAATCTGAAGTATATATTACTTGTAAAGAAGTCCCACTGATTTCCAATAGAACTTGCTTCCAAGTTAAGTGCTTGTTTGGACTGTAGCATTTAAATACAAAAGTTAAGTGGTTTTCCCCACCCTTACCCCCACTGAATATTGTGAATTTTGCAGTGCATAAAATAATTTACACACTGGCCACCATACTCCACAGTTGAGGTCTGCATGCATTGCCAGTTTTCAATCCAAATCTTGCAACAGATAACTATTTGAAAAATGTTACATGGCATAGAAATGTTTGCTAAGAGGAAGAGTGAATGTATATTTTGTATTGCATCGAGGAAAAGTGAAAGATGCATATGTGTTCTGGAATCTGTCTGACAGTTGAAGAATTGCAAGCATGTGAATGGACTGTCTCAATGACCCAGATTCTGATTGCTTGTTAACATGGCACATCCTTTCCCCACAGCCTGTAATAAAGATTATGATGTATTCAATATCTCTACTCATAGATGGCAGTCTAGCCTTTTCACATGGTCCAACCCCTCATGGCTCCTACCTCTCAGGGTGTGTTTCTGGTTGTTAGACAGTGTGTTCTTAATATTTCATCGTATCTGCTAATGTTATTTACAAATGGGATCTGCAGCAAAATGTTGCACTATGGTGTGGTCCTGTTCAGTGTTCCAGCCAGCCTCCGCTATTCCATTCCAATCCTCCTCCCACCTCGGTTTCTGAACCCCCCTCTGCGACCGTCAGTCAGTAGTCCATATCCACTGAGGATGCTCAGTCATTGGGCATACTACCTGCAGATGGCTGGACAAGCAACAACTGACTGGAGGGCTAGTGGTTTTTTTCTCTTAAAAAAATGTACTTCTGCAAATTATGGTGCTTTGCTGGGGCCACTGGCACCTCCCACTTGTGCATGGGAGGTACCATGTGGGGTGCACAAACTGATTAACTAATTGATGAGATGTGCATAGCTTTGCAGCTATGTATTCAACAGTAGCTCTGAATCACAGAATCATAGAGTTGAAGCAAGATGTAAGCTGCCTTCATTTTCATTTTTACATGTAGCAATAGCTGGTTTTCCTTACAAGTTTGTTTTTTCAGTCTTGATCCCCCAATGTAGAGGAAGACATGGGCAGGAAGGAACTGTTTCAGGGCTTGCACCACCTTGCCATATTCCTTGGATTCACAGCCAGCATGGCCAGTGACCAGAGGTAATTCAACATCTGGAAGGCCACAAGTTCCGCAGCCAAGCACTATGGCATCCATTATTGATGGGTGCGAATGCTCCAGCCATCATTGTCTCTTACCTGCCCCTTGGTAAACACGGTTGGATAAAAGGTTTGGCATGGTGGCATGCTGTGGGACCGAAGGGCCAAGGTGGGAAGCTACGTGAATCTGCCTGGGATCAGCTGGTGCCAGCATCTCAGTTGAAGGTAACAAATCTCTAGGATGGTAGAGAAGTATCTGGTTAAGCCAGGGACATCTTGGCAGCAGTTATTGTAGAGGAAAGCTATTCAGTTGATAAATTTATCTAACATTAATAAAAGTTGAAGAAAAACAGGATGGCAAAATATTTTGCTGCCATATAAATGGCACACCAATTGGCAAAATAGACCAGACAGCCTATGGTTACTCATTCGGTATCCAGAGCCCTGGAATACAGCTATAATAAACACTTGGCAGAGCCACTGCCCCTACTGATGAGCAGATTGCCTGCCGATGGACAGAGCATGATAAGAGTAGAAAGAGACAGTGCCACAGCTTACAAAGGGGGGGGGGGTCTGGGGGGAAAGGACCAGGAAAGCTTAAAGCATTTTTAGAACTGCCAATCAAATATATGCTATTTTATGCTTAGACATTATTCAACTAATACAATAACTTGTGGATATCAAACAAGACCATCCAGTGCTTATACTCTGTAGAAAACCAATGCATATTTAAAGGCTAATTTATATTAAGTATTCCAGACTCACATTTCTTACCCACCACCCATAAAGGGCAAGTTCAGTAACAATAACACATAAGCCACCACTAGCACTGAGTTGTTAGAATACCCCTGCTCCCTTCACAGAGCTTCCAATCCCAGCATTTCCTGGGAAGAGGGATTCATTGTTAAACAATTTTGAGAACTGTAGCTTTATAAGAGAAATTGTGGGGAGGGGGTTTCCTGACAACTCTCAGTAACAAACTACAGTTCCCATGATTCCTTGGATAAGTCAATGCTTTTTAAAGTAGTATGATACCACTGTAAATATATGGTGCAGATGGGACCTTAGTTTAGTCTTGAGGTCAGCTTTTTCCATCCAGGTGTTCTCCAGATGTTTTGGGTGACAGTTCTCACAATCCATAACTAGTATAATCATTCTTTAAGCATTATGATAGCTGCAGGCAGAGGATGTGTTTTTCCCTTCATAATTAATAGTTTAGGCAAAGCCTCTTTAACAGTTGAAAGAGAAATACCTTTCCATGAACCGAGGCTCAAACTGTGTAGGAATGGCTTGGATTCTCTGCTGACCTGCTCCCATTAGTTGTGGATTTACTGCCATCATCTGGTTTCTCATTATAATCTCTTGTCGCTGTCGCAATTCTAACACAAATCAGACCATATATCTTTGAGTAAATATACATCATAGATGCCAGAAATCAGAGTCCAATCAGAAAATGATCTGAAATAGTATCTTCACCCCCTTATTTCAAGGTTCTAAGAATTCCATTGCTAAATTCAGTTGATAAATTTATCTAACATTAATAAAAGTTGAAGAAAAACAGGATGACAAAATATTTTGCTGCCATATAAATGGTATTTTATGGGATTAATTGCAATCAGTAAAATAATTTGCAATTTCCCCCACTTTTCCACTTAGATATTGTTCTTGTGCAACAGATATCAGTGTGATACCACACATAAACACATAAATTACACATATAATTTAAAAACAAAGTAAACTTATAATGAAATGTGGAGAAACTTTTAATTAGGTGGAGTAGTATGGTAGCCATTGCTCTCAATATCAACCTGCCAAAGTTCTCTCACTATATCTATATCTATATCTATATGTCTATCTATTCTATTCTATCTATCTAATCTTTCTCTCTCTCTTTTTTCTATTTTTTACCCACTCTTCACCATTAGGTCCCAGGACAATAAATTGAACTTAAATATAAAAAACTGAAATGTCACAGAATTGGGGTGGGTCCTGAAAACATGCATCTCATGTGTTAAAAGCCAGGGTAAAGATGTTTGTCTTCAACATATGATAGCATACCCCTCAACTGTTCCGATTTGAGTGGGACATCCCACAATTACAGAATCACTTCTGATTGGATCCTGGAATGTTCCTTTTTTTGGTCTCATGCTCTCGTACAAATCACCTGCCTCACACCAGAGTGCTGGACCAAATGGTGCTAATTTTTTGGTCTCCTAATGCGAATCAGCTGGCTCCCACAAGCGTCCCAGTGTTGACCAGTAGGATGTTGGAGGGTATGCAACAGAAATTACATAATGAGGGCACATCTTTGGGGAGGGAATTTCACAACCTAGGAGCTGCCCCTTCCCAGGCCACTGCGTCTCCTCACTTCTGGGGGTGGTAGAACTTCCAAAAGGGGCCCTTCTGCTGTTCTTAACACACAAGAGGATCGCTAGAGAAATGAGTGGTCTTTGATATATTTTGGGCCGAAATGTTGGTCAGTATTCCATCTTACCGCCTGCTGCCATACCACTTGCTAACCGGTATAAATGCTTGTCTTCCAAGGTTCCCTGTTCCCCAAGAACTGACATTTTTCTCATGTGATCTCGAGGAGTCATGTTATGGAGGGATGCAGATGGCTTTTCCACTAGTTATTGGTGAAACTGGTACGAGCTGAGAGAAAAATAAAAGAGAAAGAATGATTTATAATAGAACAGATATGTTGTAAATATCAATGAAACATGAGAGGAATATAAAGCTGTATAGGTCCTATAAGGTCAGCTAAGAATTCTGGAGGTACCATCTATATATGAAAGGCTATTTTCATACCCAGTGTGCTTGTCATGGTAAGAGGAAGTATAACAGCTTGAACAAACAAGTAGCCTGGCATTGCACACTGGTCAAATTGCATGTATTAGACTGCTCCTTTTTCCAAAGCTGTGAAGAAACAAATGAGAGGCTGCCTAGTGTTACATGTGAACCAGCGTTTATGGTTTGTTCCTCTCCAAGCTTTGTTCTTGCCATAGGCCTCAGGTTGGCAACTATGGGAAACAGGATGCCGGACTATATTGTGCCAGTCCACTGGGCCATCTAGCCCAAGAGGCAGCAACTACCTAAGGTCTCAGGCATGGGTCTCTTGTAGACCTCCAGTTTTTGGAGGTCCTTTCTGGTACAGATGGTAGGTACTGAAAATGGAACCTTACGCATGCAGACGAGGGGATCTTCCCTGAGCCATGGCCCCTCCAGATAAGGACTGTGAAATAGCTAAGAACCTTGAAGCTGGGTTTGTGTAAAATAATATGCACCAGCTGTCCAAGACTGCATTTGTGTAGGACTCTCTGCTGATCCTATTCCGTAAATCCGGACTGTACAGCACATTATAGGGATGAAGACAAGTTAATCTCTGCTTTTAGAGTTTTACCCTCAGCAAACCCTTCTTGGCAGCAGGCAGAACCACTCACCTAGTGCTAATTCTGTCTCGGTTTATTAGGCAAAGGGTGGAAGGGCAGAATCTTTATGGACTAAAAGCACTTCCATACAGTTAATCATGTTATGAGAGCCCAAAAGTGTGTGTGTGTGTCCATTCTGCGCAGAGGGTTGAAGAAACAGATTTTGAAAATAAACAAAAGTCTAAGCTCTTTATCTGGTGACATATGTTCTACTGTTGAAAATGCCTACTCTTTTCCCTTCAATTAACTTTCAGTTTTATATGTACAGCCAAGGTCCATCTCTGAAACCTTTTTGGAATTTTTAGCGCAAGAGAGCATATTTAAGTGCTAACTCATTCTTTGTATTTATATAGTTGTAGTTTCAATATTTGTGGCTCTAGTTCAGCCAGCCTGATGCCCTCCAGTTGTTTGGGACTACAACTCCCATCAGCCCTGGTGTAATGTAAGTACAGTGGAGGCATTTATTATTATTATTATTATTATTATTATTCATTTTGGGAAAGGAACCTTGCTGTGAACAAGATAATGACTTTGGTGTGTTCCCAGAACAAAAGGGAGCTAATGCTGATCGAAGACAGGAAGTAGAAGATAAAGGGCAGATCCACACCATACATTTAAAGAACATGGCTCCTCCTCAAAGAATTCTTGAAATTGTAGTTTTCTCCTCCCAGAACTACAATTCGCATATACCGTATTTTTCGCTCTATAACACGCACCCGACCATAACACGCACGTAGTTTTTAGAGGAGGAAAATCCGTAGGCATGCCACCCGTAGGCATTCCCTCCATAACACGCACAGACATTTCCCCTTACTTTCTAGGAGGAAAAAAGTGAGTGTTATGGTGCAAAAAATACGGTACTTACCAAGCCTCAGCTCCCAGGATTCTTTAAGGGAAGTCATGTGCTTTACATGTGTGTTGGATGTGCTTTAAATGTATGGTGTGGATCTGTCCAAAGACAGAAATTGAGTGAGTGAAGCCGAGAATCATAGCATGCTATAGTAGATTAGGTAAGAGAGATTCAGAGTAATTTTTCTTGTGTTTAGATTGATGGGAAAGAGATTTTAAGTAGCTTCTTCAGCAAATTCCCTGTAAGATCATGGGGATCAACAGAGAATATGCTGCCTTTAACAAAAGCTCCAGAACTTACTTCTGCACCTATCCCAACCTCATTCATGCCTTCTCTCAGAAAAATACTTGAATTATTATGATGTGTATTCACATACAATCCTATAACAAAGTACTCAGGGTGGTTTACAATAAAAAGCAGGGGAAAATACAATTCATATAAATTGATCCTCAAGCCATAAGCTGGAGTTATTGGTTTTAAATGGCTTCTGTAGTTAGTAAAGTTACATTGCTTTAAATTAATTGGGTTGAATCCAGACTTGAATAATGCTTACAGTAGACACATCACAATCAATGGGATGTAAATTTGTCATGATCCAGTCCAAGGATTCAAAATTACCGGTAACTGACTTGTGGAAAGTTTGCTTGTCTTGTACCCCACTAATAGCATCACCATGTAGAGATAATTACAGCATTGCTAAAAATTAGAAATATAAATTCAACAAGCTGTTACTTTATTTGTTTAAAACATCTGTGCCCTGCCTTTCCACATTTGGCCAATCCCATTTATAAGATTAAAAATAACTCAAACACAATAAAAACAAATAACAATTTTAAATTAATGTCAATTATTCATAAATATTAGATGATTATCTGAACATTACTTCTGGTGCCAGGTTCCATATGTAAAGCAACCACTTTCTCAACAGGCAACATTAAAACAACTGGTATTTTTATTACCCTGATGTTCCATATAAGTTACGATCATTAGCCATTGTGTATACTTACAGCAATTGCCAAGACCTCAGTTTTGAAACTGGGCAAGATTGTATGAATATCCAAGAGCTTGTGACTTCGCTGTGGATCTTTTCTTCAGGCTGGTTGTGTCACTTGGTTGGCTTTTAAGACACATTGGGATTAGCCCATCAAAACACTCTTAACTAACGATGACTTTGCTTTAAATACAAACTCAATTTATCTTGATTAGCCTTCATCCCCGCCTTTAAGCCCTCCCCACTCTGACATCACAGGCCCTTCTCCCAGACCATCTCTCAGGAGGGCTGTAAAAAAAACAACACATAATTACTTACAAGTAGCACATTCCACTGAGCTGATAAACCTATTTTAACATTTAACCTGTTAAGCTGGTGTTAGTCTTTAAGGCAATTGGTGCGTCCTCTGAAAATCTGAATCGTTCCTGAAATTATGCACTCGGCAACAGAAAAATGATCAGAATTGTTCTGACTGTTATCAGTCCACAATTGATTTTTTAAGAAGCTGTTTACTTCTGCCACATGAGAGGTCTGTTGCCCCATAATTACTTATCCTGTTGGGCTGGAAAGATTAAAGTGCTGTTAAGCACACTGTGAGGCTAACAGACGGATCAGATGGCTATACTGCTCAAGCTCACAGTTTACTCTTTAATTCTCCCTGTCAGTTAGTTAACACCTCTCAGGCTGAACTGAGATGCTAAGGGCCTCTTCACAAGTTATCCATTTCTTAGTGAGATGTAGGGACAGGTCAAATTACCTGTTCCAGGTAGCCTGACACATTACAATTAGAACTGGGGTGATTAATACTGACAACACCCCCTTGTCTGGTTTCAGAGAAGCACTCCCTTGCCAAGGACCTATAACTGGAGACTGCAGTCAGTTGAAGACAACTTGGCCCAGCCCACGCAAGGCTAACTCTGCCCTGATCTCCCTTTTCTCAGTACAGTATTCACTAACTGAAGTCTGGCTTTGACATTCCCCAGGAAAAGACCTGCATACCTTGTTATATGCCACTTCCTACTGTTACTGTACTTGCTCAAACTTCTTCTGCGTGCACCAGATTTGCATGGGAATGATGCATACTGCTTCACTGCCTGTACCTTGGATTTGTAATCAAGCATTCTCTAATAAGAAGATTAATCTACTGGGTCACCTGTTATGCCAGATGATGCTAGGCCTGCCCTCAATTTTTGACGTCATGTGCCCCAGACTCCCTAAAGCAGGGGAGGGAAATGTCAGGCCTGAAAGCCAAATTCAGCCCTCCAGACCTTTCTGCCTGGCAGCGCCACTCACTGGCTCTGCACCATACCCTCTTCAGGGGTTTTTACCTGGCTGGAAGTGCTGCTGAAATGTCATCATGTCTATTGCTTGGTCAGTTGGAGGATGGACAGGTGTTTGGGTGTAAAATGTAAATTACTGTATGAGTCTGTAAGAGTAACAACCATTGCTCAGCCTTCTTTTTCCTCTGGCCTCTCCCACCAGTGCCATGTGGCACTCAAAAGGTTGCCCACGTGAGAATGTGACCCTTGAGTTGGTATTGGTTCCCTGTCCTAAAAGGATTCTATGCAAATTTGGGCCCCGTAGATTCATTCAGGAGAACGTAGCTGCTGGTATAATAATGCGGTCCTAAGTGTGCTCCATGCATACATGCCATCTTGGAATGCATCTAACTGAACCACAAGGTGGCATTCAGTGAAATTTTGCCCAACATAGACCCATTGAAATCAATGGACCTAACTTAGTTGCGAGGGAAGCGGGTGGCGCTGTGGGTTAAACCACAGAGCCTAGGACTTGCCGATCAGAAGGTTGGTGGTTTGAATCCCTGCAACGAGGTGAGCTCCCATTGCTCAGTCCCTGCTCCTGCTAACCTAGCAGTTCAAAAGCATGTCAAAGTGCAAGTAGATAAATAGGTACCGCTCTGGCGGGAAGGTAAACGGCGTTTCCGTGCGCTGCTCTGGTTTGCCAGAAGCGGCTTAGGCATGCTGGCCGCATGACCCAGAAGCTGTACGTCGGCTCCCTCGGCCAACAAAGCGAGATGAGCGCCGCAACCCCAGAGTCTGCCATGACTGGACCTAATGGTCAGAGGTCCCTTTACCTTTTTTTTAACTTAGTTGCATTTATTAATGTTAACTGGTATACCATGGGTAAAACTTAATTGAATACTGTTTCAAAAAGCATTTTTAAAAATGAAAATGCCAAAAGACCCATTATCTTTGGGAAATTCCCCCTGGTGGTCAATTATGTCTTTGAAATCCCAGTAGTGTCCAGGAAAATCTGGACATATGGCAGCCCTAGAATACTACCCATTGAGCTCAGTGACTGCGGTGGCCTGCCTGGTATGGGTCTGATGCTTTGCACATCCTGTGGAGAGTGCAGGGATTGGGAGGGCAATGAGAGCCAGGAACTCATCACAGGGCCATCAGCAGGCATAGAGGCCTTCTAGCTCCAGCACAGATTGATGAAGTCATTGCTGTGAGCCAAGGTCCAATAGACTCTAGCCTCGTAAAACAGGGAACTTAGGCTGGTTCCTGACAGAAACTATCATGAAATTCCGCAAGAGAGAGGCATTACTCTTCCACTAAACAGGTTCCACACACATAATATTTGCTGCAATTGGGGGAGCAGGGACTAAATAATAAATAATGAAATGAAGCCAGTAGTTTTGCCAACCCACCACCATATACAGGCAGGCAGAGTGGAACCCAGAGAAGTTCTTTCAATACTAGGGAGATATACTTCCAACTGGTCCCAGTCAACAGCCTGGCTCTGGAGTATGAAGAATCTGGCCTTCCAGGCGTTCTTGGGCTCCAACTTCCAACTAGCTCAGCCAGCACGATCAAAAGTCAGGGATGGTGGGAAATGTAATCCAGCAGGAGGGCCACCGATTAGCCACCCCTGGCTTAGTGGCCACTTTTTGAACTAACCAAAGTTTCTGGATGGTCTTCAAAGCCAGCCCCATGTACTGTACAACAAATTACAGCCGTCAACCCTAGATTATACAGGTGCATGTATGACTGTGGACAGGCTATCTCCACCCAGGAGAGGATGCAAACGGTTTTGTTGCAGAGGCTACCAAGCTTACCTAGGCTTCCAGTGTCAAAGCTGCATCCAGGAGTACGCCCAGCCCTATTAATCTGATTCTTTAGGGAAAGTGCAGTCCCATCTGGGACATCTTGAACACCATCTTCCTGAACAAAGAGCTACCAACAAAATCCTCATCTTCTTGGGACTGAATTTCAGTTTACTGCCCTGCTTCCACCCCCATTACTGATTCCAGTCTCCCTATTTAATTCTAGATGGTGCTTGGATCTAATACAATGGGTAAGCTTTGTCAGGCTGCTTGGCAACAGTGACCACAATGCTCTTAAGTTCAAACATACATGTGGGTGGGAATGTCAGGCAGATGAGCTTTTCTGGAGACCTGAATTAATTGCTTCTTAACAGCCCAGCAGGACTTGCGTGCTTTTCTGTTTCTTTTTTACACTCCCTAGGTTAATTCTTGTCTGGCTTAATTGTGGCATTCTGGTTGGCATGTACAACAGAGTTGCTGCAAAAGAGCTTAAAATCCAGTTTTTATCATTCTTGGATCTTTCCTGTGGCT